TTCTTTTGGTACCTAAATTTTGCAGGTCTTTATAGAGCATGACTATTTGCAAAGGTTTTCTTGCATTCAGTAGATTCTCATTTCACTCTATTTTTTTTTCCTGTGCAGAAGCTTTTTAATTTCATTCTTACTTGCCAGTTCTTGAAGTTTTTTTTTTCTGTACTTTTAGAGTCCTTCTGAGAGAGTACTTAGCTCTATGCCTATATCTTATATTGTACTTCTGTTTGTTCTAGCAGTTTCAAAGATCTAAGTCCTACATTAAGGTCTTTGATTTGTTTTGAATTTATTTCTTATGTGGACTAAGATAGACTTACTTTGTTCTTCTCCCTGATATCAAGTTTTCACAGCATATTTCTGGAAGAGTATGTTTGCTTAACAAATGTGGATCTTTGATACATTGGTCCAGAATTAGATAGATGGAGTCTGGAGAGATAGCTCAGCAGTTAAGAAAGGTTTACTGTTGAGTTTAGTTCCCAGTGCCCACATCAGGTGGCTCACCAACTGGCTGTAACTCAATTCAGGGGATCTCACATCCTTTCTGATATTCATGACCTCTTGCACACATGTATTACACATGAACTCATGTGGGAACATATACATAAATTGCTAAAAATATGTATTTTTAGCTGTGTAGGTTTATGTCTGTGTCCTCTATCCTGTTATTCTGTATATGTTTCTTTCTTTTAAAAAAAAATCTGTTTTTTCACAATTTATTCATTATATATCCCAATTGAAGATGCCCTCCCTCATCTCCTCCCAGTCCTACCCTCCCTCTTCTTCTTCCCATCCCCTTCCCCTAGACCATTGAAAGAGGGAATTCTCCCCCTCTCCCATCTGCCCATAGCTTTTCAAGTCTCATCAGGACTGCCTGGATCCTCTTCCTCTGTGGTCTGGTAAGGCTGCATCTCCAAGGGCAAGTAGTCAAAGAGCAGGCAGTGGAGTTCATAACAGAGGCAGCCTATGATCTCCTTACTCATGAACCCACGTACAGACTGAGCTGCCAATCAGCTACATCTGAGCAAGGGATCTAAGTCCTCTCCATGTATGGTCTTTGGTTAGTGCATCAGTCTTTGCAGGAACCTTGGGGCTCAGATTTTTTAGCTTTCTTGGTCTCCTTGTGGGGCTCCTGTCCCCTCCATTTCCTTCTATCCCCTATATATGTTTCTTTGTGACAATCCCATTCTCTTCATCACTAAATCCCTATATTATAATTTGAGTCAGGTATTATGATACCTCAAGCATTATTCTTTCTGCTTGTATTAGCTTTGTTTGTGATCATTTGTATTTTTATATAAGTTTTAGGATATATCTCTAGATCTGTGAAGAATGTAGTTAGAATTTTGATAGAGATTGTATTAAATTAGAAGCTTCTTTTGCTAATATAGCCATTTTATAATATTAATTCTACTAAATGAGTATGAAAAGTTAACAACCAAGATCAACCATCATACTTATGATATACGATTTTTTTTTATGTGTCCTTAAATTTTGCTTACAAGGATATTTTTGTGTCTATGCTCATAAAGGAAATTTGTTTCTAGCTTGATTCTTTTTGTCCATACCTGGTTTGGGAAAAGTGTAATACTTGCTTCATGGAATATATTTGGTAGTGTTCTTCTCTGTTTATTTTATGAGACAGTTTTAGCAATATTTGTGTTAGCTCCTCATTAAATATGGATAGCACTCAGCAATGAATTCCACTGGGAAGACCTTCATTACAAATTACTGCTTCAGTCTTATTGACTGTCTTCTTGATTTACTTTGTTTGGTAATCAGATGTATTTAAACATTTATTTGTTTTTCCCAGATTTCCCAGTTCTTTTTAGAATACACATTTTAAAAGTGTTCTCTAATTATCTTCTTAATGCATTGATTGGAATCTGTTCTAACATGTCTCTTTTAATCTATAACTTTATTATTGTAAGTCCCCTTTTCTTTCTCTTTTTCTCTATTCAGTTAGTTTGACTAGGTATTTGTCAACTTCGTTTACCTCATAATAGAACCACTCATGGTTTGAATGAGTCTATATATATATTTAGTATATATTTCATTAACTTCTGCCCTAATCTTTATTTCTTGCCATTTGCTGCATTTGCGTTTGGCTCATTCTTTTTCTAGGATCTTAAGGTGTATCATTAGGTTATTTATGTGATATCATGATTATATATGTATATGCACTTATAGCTGTAGACTTTATTTTTAGGACCGCTACCCCCCATGTTTGTTTCTTTGTTGTGTTCTCTTGTGACACTGCCAAAAGCTCCCAAATCATCAGTACCAGAAAGCAAGTATCAGAAAGATATTTTAGAGTCATACACTCAGTGGTATTATTGTGAATTCAAACAAATAGATAAAATACAGAAACCTATTCAGGATTTGGATGAGAAAGTGGATCAAGCACTCAACAAATTGTAAAACATGGAGAAAAAAATACAAGAAGAAACTGAAACTCTGGAAAAATCAATTAGAAGTGTTAGAAATGAAGATCAATCAATCAAATATAAAAAAGATAAAGCAGAAACTATCACCAATAGACATGACTATACAGAAGAACAAAATTCAGGGATGGAGGACAAGGTTAAAAGAATAATTAATTTAGACATGCATTCTAGTAAGAATGACTAAAACTTCCAAGAACTATGGGATAAGTTTACGAGAACAACTAAAAATTTTCCAGGTGGAAGAAGAAGCTGAAATAAGGACTAAGGATGTACACAATTTATTCAATGAGATGATGGCAGAAATTTCCCTAAACTTAGAGAAAGAAATGGACATTCAAACACAAAAGGCATTTAGAAACTCAAATAGACGTGAATAGATGCAACCTCTATACAACATATCATAGTCAAAATGTCTAAAATACAAACCAAAGAGTCAACACAAAAAACAATAAGGGGAAATGGTACCTCATCTAAGTCAAACACCAGAATTACATCAAACCTCATTATCAACTTGAAAATCTCAAAAGTGTAGAATGAGATGTTTCAAGACCTGAAAACAAAGTAATTGCCAACAAAGATTGTTGTACTCTGATAAGTTATTTCTAAAATAGAAAAGTTAGAACATTTCAAAAACACAGAAACAGCTAGAGAGATGGCTCAGAGGTTAAGAGCACTGTCTGCTCTTCCAAAGGTCCTGAGTTCAATTCCCAGCAACCACATGGTGGCTCACAACCATTTATAAAGAGATCTGGTGCCCTCTTCTGTACATGTACACAGACATTGTATACATGATAAATAAATAAATCTTAAAAAAAACCACAGAAACAATTTACATCACAGGAACCAGCACTAGTAAAACTTAATAGGAGTATGATACACATAGAGAGAAGAAAGACAATCTAATTCATGACAACATGGGAAAAGTTAGTTTCTTGGGAGGAATAAATGAACAAAGGAGAATTAAAAAGAAATACATTGTGTCTAACAAATCAGCAAATGTCCCATATTAATACGGTTAAGAAGAAAACACTACTTATAACCTAACCAAATGGAACCATGACCAGCAAATCCATAGGAAATATTAAATATCTCTAAATAACAGTCTTAAAGACATATGGCCTTAATTCATTGTTTAAAGGCTACCTTCCAAGTGGCTAGATTAAACAGAAAACAAGATCCAACTATTTGCTGTCTCTAAAACACGTAGATCACGCGTAAGAACATCCAAATAGAATCCAAAAAAGAAGAGCTTTCCTGCTATCTGATAAAGTAGATTTCAAACCAAAACTACTTAGAAGAGATGAAAAAAAAAAAAAGACCATTATATACTGATAAAGAGAACCACTTCTTAGGAATATAAAACAATTATAAATATTTATGGTGCTTACAACTTCATTAAAAATACTAAAAGGCATTAAAAGGTCATATAGGCCCTGATATAACAGTAGGAATCAGCATTATCACATTCTCATTTTTAAATAGGTTTCCTAAACTACAGAACAACAAACTTCAGAGTTAAATCAGGCATGATACAAGCTAAACCAAAGCAACAATTATAGTGTAAAAGTCTAGAGTAAAGCAACAAAAATAAAGTAGATACTATAACCACAGTCATCATTCCTAGTCACCATGATGTAGCTTTTCACTTCTCCTGGTTTGTCTTCTGTAGCTGTCTCTACAGATGGGGAAGGAGGTGAAAGATGCTAATCCCAGTAATTCAAACAAATTAGATTTTCATATTAGACTTTTCCATAATTCATCAAATGGAGTAGCCCCACCTAAATAGTTACAACTTTGTCTCTGGTATTTTATGAATTGTTCTTTCTATTAATTGAACTTTCTGTGACTAAGGCTTTGAGGAAGTGTGGAAGGCCCACCCACTTGTCACTGGTTGGCTTCTTCTGGCAGCATCTGTTGGCTGTGCTATGTTGAATATCTTTCTTCTGCTATTTTTCCTGTAGCTTGCCCAAGCAGTGAAAGGGGTGGTGTTGTCTCAAGCTATTAATTTTAGGGTATGTGGAAAAACAAATCTCAGCTCCAGGCTTCGTAGCTTATCTCTACATTTGCATGCCCCATCTCTGTTCCACTGGCCATATCTCTGGTTATATTATAGTATATTCAAAACCTAGTTGTGTCTGTTTAGCCAAGTCCAACTCTCTGTAACCTTTTCTTCTTGTGAAACCCATGACCAGGAGGAGGGAGCACCTACCTGGCAGGTAACTCCAACTCTGGTCTGGCGGCACGATGAGTCGGAGGCATTGGTTAATGTGTAAAGCTATTTAAAAGAGAAGTGATGTTGAAGACTTTGAGGATTTTAAAAGTAAGAACAAATAAAAACAAAGACAACTAGAGGAAATAGCATATGTAAAGAAAATCCACTTGGATATTTTAATGAGTGATGTAATTTGTACCTTATCCACATTTTTTTTCTTTTTAGGCATGTATTGAACATGTTACCAGCTCTCTAATTTTGACGTATGCTTTTGAACAAAAGAATAATCTTAGAATATTAATTATCTGCTCTGAAATTCTATCCTTATGTTTTAATCTTTTCAATAGACTACACTGTCATTAAGAAATACTACATGGCAGAGATGGGGAAAAGACAATTCAAGACAATTACTGGACGCAACAAAGGTAAAGATTTAACCAACATTTCTACATGTATTAAGAAAAGTGTGCAAGCCCACGGAACATTTACCAATTTGTGCTGCATATTTACTACATATTTTACATTTTCCAAATACTTTCCTTTTTTCATGTTTTTTTTTTTTTTTTTTTAAATAAATACTGGCAGGAAGGTATGTTTCCACTAGGGATGCAGAAAGAAATCTTGGTATTTTTCTGCCACTGCAGAAATCTGTCTGAATCCCTTGAGATCAGGGCCAACTAGAGTAACATTTCCAGAAAACTTTTATAAATGTAATGGCAGCTTGTTGACACTCAAATTTATTCTAATTTGTATCTGGTACATGGAATGTTGCCATTTTCAAGTTTGTGAAGTTCCTTTACATTAGAAGATGTTCAGATGGTAGAATGCCAAGGGATTTTAAGTTTGTTAGAGCCTTCAGGATAAGTGATGCTGAGTTTAAATATTGGTGAGGGCTGTTTTTTTGTTGTTGTTGTTAACTTACATGAAAGCTATCTTTCATAATTCCCGCTGCTTCAAAATGAGACATGTAAATCTCCATGATAGAAGAACAAAAAGTTAGAAGGCCATTTGCATCCTCATAACTTTATTGTTTATTCTCTTTAGTAATTATTTGCTATTAAGGCACAAAGCTTTGTTCTAATTTATGGAAAGACTGTACAAGTGAATTTGTTTGCCAGTATTAAATTAAATCTTTAAGTAGAAAATTTGTTCAGACTTTTCATTATCCAAAATATCACTAAATTGGTTTATATTTCAGTCTTCTGCTTCATTGACAACCTCATTATCTTGTGCGATATTCACCAGAAGCCTTGCTAAAACGTGTTGCTTAGCCTTTTAGAGGAGAAATGTCAGAAAATGATGCTGTCAGAATAAAAATCACCCCTTGATGTTTTCTTTGTAAAAAATGCTTTATGAATGTTGATCTAAAATCGATAATATTTATGACAATTACTTTTGTTTCTCATTAGTAAGAATAAGAAGATACTTATGTTTTAGAATTCCTTGGCTCTAAGCTGATACTGTTACTCTGTATATACTATCAATGTATATAAGTGTTTGTAAAGAACTATGCTCTTGTTCATTAATTATTGATTATTAAGAATATTACAAAAACATTTAAGTATTTATTTTATTTAGTATTTTAATCATAAAAACTTTCATTATTAGAAAATCTAAATGTTAAGCCAAATTGTCATTATCTTAGTAAATGTTACATTTTTCTAAATGATTACCTTGTTAGCTCTTATGTTTTCTCAAATGATTTTACTTTATGTACCTCTGATTTTATAATATTAAAGTCTTTGAAAATTTTACAGTAGGTAAGATAATAGGGCTACTCAGGAGAGTTTATGTAGCTTTTATTTTCTAAGTTAATCCAGAAAGCATTGAAGTCTGTTTTGCCTATATAAAAGATACCATGGTATGTATACCATAGGAGATAAAACTGACTCAAAAAGTATTTTTCTTAATTTTAAGAAATTTACTATGCAATAGTAAATATATTCTAAATATGTATATAAGACACAATAATATAAATGATCAGTTGTATAAATTTAATTTTCTTAATTATGAAGATATTTATGCAAGGAAAGCAAGTGAGATATAAATCATTAACTATATTATACTTGCTTGTTTGGATACGGCATTATAGTGAGTGACAGAAAGGGAGACAGGATAAATTAAGTAAAACTAATGTTAGCTAAATCACTTAAACTTATTTCATAGGCTATTTAGAGAAAGTAACTTAAATATTTGTTATATTTATCTATTCTTTGTATAAATTTAGCTGTATGCTAATTCTGGGTTTAATCTACCAGTCCAGATGCAATGCCCTTGAATTTATTTTAGAGACAGTTGTTAGATTAGATTTAAGACATCTGAAATTCTGTAATACCTAATAAATATAGTACTTGTTATAATTTCTAATTAGGCTCTCCAGGCATGGCCATTGATAGAAAAGAGAACATGTTGGCATGGGCACGCAGGAGGAGGACTCCATACTGACCCAAAAGAAGGGGTAAGAATGAATACCAAACCTTTCTATACTAACTTTAAAAAATAATTCTAAAAGGAAATTCTTGATGATTGTACTTGAGTGGAAGATGTGTCTTTACTATTATCATATTGTAACACTTTTTGATTGGCTCATCCAATGATGCTTTCTCATACAGAAAAATCCCATATAAATTGGCAAATATTATACAAATGTTTTTTTTTTTTTACTTATAACAAAAATTCATGGTTGATTAAAATTTAAAAAAGATTCATGGGGGGTAGGGAGAGGCTCCAAGATGACAGTGACCAATGTGTACCATATCTGAGGAGCAGAGGATCAGAAACGCTTAAACTGGTGATTGGATGAGCGGCTGTAGCCAGAGCATCCATTTTGACGCTTCCCAGGCTAGAGGGAAAAATCTGTGAGCTAGAGGGACAGATTGGATCCAGGGCCCTTCCACCCCATGTGGACATCTCTGCTATCTGAGAGTGGCCATTTCACTTGCTCTGGCAGTGGCTGCTGCAGCTGAGGTGGGGGGCCAGCGAGTACTTAACCTCAGGTACAGGGCCTCCCTACTCTAGTGGCCAATTCTGAGAGTAGAAAAATCTTGGGACCTCTATGCTTTCCTCATATGCCTGCAACTGAGTGCTCCTGTGAGGGAGTGCATGCAGAGCCCCAGATCGGAGTTCCTCTACACTAGCCACCAGACATTGGATCCCTCCCCCATATGCACTCTGGGCAACTCAGGGATTCCTGGGATAGCATTCTTAACATTTAAGCCCCTGTTCTATGGTTCTACCAGTAGAGTTCAGGCAAACAATTCCTGGAGCCAAGATAGTACAGCCCTTCTTGCTTAGATTCTTTAGGGATACAAAGTGAATAAATTGTAATAAATAAAAAATAAGTTAAAAAAGAATAATAAGACTGATACTTCAACCAAGGACCATTCAAGGATATAACCTAGAACCCTTGCTCATATGTAGCCCATGATAGCTCAGTATCCAAACGGGTGTCCTAGTAAAGGGAACAGGGACTGTCTATGACATGAACTCAGTGGCTGGCTCTTTGATTACCTCCCCCTGAAGGGGGAACAGCCTGGCCAGGCCACAGAGAAGGACAACCAGTCCTAATGAGACCTGATAAGCTAAGGTCAGATGGAAGGGGAAGAGGACCTCCCCTATCAGTGGACTTGGAGAGAAGCATGGAAAGAGATGAGGAAGGAAGGGTAGAACTGGGAGGGAAGGAGGGAAAGGGCTACAGCTGAGATACAAAACAAATAAACTGTAATTAATATAAAAAATAAAAATGAAAATAATAATAATAAAAACAATGGTGCATCCCAGACAGAACCAAGTGCCTGAAACACAATACTATGACAGGCCTGTGTGCCACTGAGCCACTCAGAGCACCTGCATACAGGCACTGAACCCACTAACAGTGCTAGTACTCCCCACCTACCTGTGGTGCTACAGCCTAGATACAAAGTAAATAAATTGTAATAAATAAGTAAATGAAAGATTCTTGGGGCTAAGCACTCCCCTTTAATCCCAGCACTTGGGAGGCACAGGCAGGCAGATCTCTGTTAGTTTGAGGCCAGCATGGTCTACAGAATGATTTTCAGGACAGGTAAGGCTACATAGAGTAACCTGCTCTTAAGAAATAATAATAAAAAAAAAAACCCAAGAAACAACAAAATAAAACAAACAAAAACCTTTATTATTTGCTGAGAAGTGGCAAATTTATTCATCAGCTTCAATATACTGTTGTTGTTACTGTTATTATTGCTTTGGTTTGTTGACACAGTCTTACTGTGCATCTCATTCTGGCCTCAAACTCAGGATCTTCCTGTTTAAAACTCTCAGACAGTGGTTTACATGTGTGTGCTTCCATGCCTGTTCTAAATGTTTCAGTTCTCTAAAGTAGCATTAACTAACATCGTTATGTAAACTAGCCTTATAAATAAGTAGGCAAATAGGGTTTAGTAATTATAAAGAATTTGTGTGTGTTAAGGTCAGTGTTTTCCCTTTATATGCTTTGATCTTATAATATCAGTTCACTTCATGGCACATCTTCTGTCTACCTGATCCAGCTATTACTGATATTTTTTTTACATTATCATTGTAATTATCATATAGGCATGTAGAGCCACTGACATAAAAAATGATTTATTTAGACTATACTTTAAGTGAGTGACAATGTCACAGAGTACTCTTACATATTTTTCTCCATCTGGTCTCTTTTCTTGGGGCTTGCCTCCATCTAATTTCTCTCCCTCCTTATTTGTCCCTTCTCCTTGCCCCCTCTTCCCTCTTTGTCTCTTCTTCCATTTCCTCCCTTTTTCCTTCTCTCATTTTCCCATACAGACATATGGTATTTTGAAGTAGCAATGAATTAAGGAAACAAAATTCTATGAAAAGTGCTCTGTAAATTATAGGTGCTAACAATTAGTTATTTTACTGGCAGTTGATAGTTGGTAGGAAAATTTTCTGTTTTCTTGATGTCTCTAGTGTTATTCTTTACTTTCCAGTAACTCAAAGCACATTGCACTGATTTCCATTTCTGTATATATCACTAACCCTCATGGCTGTCTTTGGAACTAACACAGAATAATATTATAGAACTTTTAAAAGTTCAGCCAAGTTAGGATAGTTTTTTATCCATGTTTTACTCTTTGGTATGATATTTGTCATTTTTCAGGATCATCTGTCAGTAAGGACTCTTAAGGATATTTGCTAATAGTGCTCTGTGACTGAAATATGTTGACAAATAAAGGAGAAGCAGAAACTTCTCTTAAACTGCACTGAACAAGAATTTTATATATGTTGTATTGTTTAAGTGTTGTCAGACAGTATTTTCCCATCTTACAACAACAAAATTTTTATATTGGTACATTTTAAAAAGACACAGGATATAATTTCTTTTCAGAAAAAAAATAAAACAAATCAATTGTGACTAATATTTTATATTGCTCTTCACAGCTCTTTTTCTCTTATAACCTTTGTATAACTTTAACTTTGTTGGCTAACTGGAATCATACAATAATAGGGCTTGGTGGTCAAATGAGAAAGAAAAAGAGACATAGTATATTGTTGTTGAGAGTCTCAGTTCTGGAGCTACAGTGAATTTGAATCTGGGCTCTATCACTTTCTAATGGAACCTTGAACAAATCTTGAAACTATGGATCCTTCAGGTTCTTCTGTAAAATGGGGTTAATAATCATACTGGAAGGAATTTGAATGAGGTAATGCTGCTCGCTATGTTAAAGCTCTTAAATAGTGCTCAGAATATAGAAGCTGCTCAGCAAGTAGTAGTTACTGTTTATTGTAGTGTAAGGTTGTGAGGCCTTCCTCAATCACAGTGCAGTCATTTGTGAAATATGTGTCTAGGCCAATAAGATGGTTCAACATGTAAAGTTGCCTGCTGTCAAGCCTGGCAACCCCTGTGTTGTCCTCAGGCCCTTGTGTATATGTGCACATGTACACAAAACACACACAATATATAATAAACTTATTTTTTAAAAGTTTATGTTATGTACTTAATCTGTGCCAAACTTTATGATACGTATGAGAGATATAGTACTTAAATAAGACAAAGTCTCTACTATCTAAAATTTAACTGTTGAGATGACAGAATATATAAACCATTACATAGAATGTTTACGAGCAAAACAAAAGATAGATTTTACCTTGAAAACTAACTAAAATGTTCACACCCTGATTTTTTAAACTTAATTTCCACTTGTAAAGTCTTTACAAATATTGCCATTAATAATTATCATTGATTTTAGTGTATCTTTAAATGCTGTTTATCTCATGTGGCTGCCATAAAGGGTTTGTGAAAAAGGAAAAGTCGTTTCAATATTTGAACATTCTGCCTTTTAAAATAGGTGAATGAATTGTTTTATAATAGAGTATTGATATTTTTGAAAGATTTGAGATTTTAAAAGATTTGTTATTTCTCTCTGAATATTTATGAGTCCATGCACATGCACACATCATGCTACGTATGCAAGAGTCAGATGACAACCTTGTACAGTGGGTCCCTTTCATTTTTATTTGTGTGTGGGACATTGAACATAGATGACCAGGCCTGTATGGCAAGCACATTTACTCAATAAGGGATCTTGCCGGCCAGGATTGGGGAATCTGTACTCCTACATTTCAATATTTAGTAATATGTTTCTGTTTGTTCTGTATGGTCTGGAGAATGATCTGCAATAGCCATTTTTTTTTAATTTTGAATAAATGAGTTCATTAAGTGTATAGCAAGCCACAATAAAAGAATAGATGGCAAGAGGGAAGTAAGTTAAGTATATAAGTAGATAGATGGTCTGTAGATATGTACATAGCAGAACATCATCAGATCAACTGTTCAAAATATTCAGAAATCCAAAGGAAAAATTCTGTTAAGACAGGCAGTGGGAGTTTCCAATAGAGAAGACTGTGGGTAGAATAGAGTACCACCTCAGGTGAGGCTTCAGAGTAAATGAACAAATAATAACTGAAATAACGTCATTAAATCAAACACAGTATTCAGCAAAACCCAATTAGGAAGGTTTAGGTGGTCAGCTAGAGTTTCTGATTAATTTTTCTCTCAATTACTGAGCTTGCCATAGCTGAGCTTCTGGCTTCTCTTTCTTACTGCAGACATTTTTATTTCATTGGGTAAACAATAGTAACCTCTGTTGGAAATAGCTTACCTTGTAGATGTTTTCAAGGACACACTGTTTTTTATTCTTGGGCTGCTTTGCTGTTTGCCCTCCCCATCACCAGAGTTAGTAGGGCCATTCCCCTGGAGTGCCGTGGAGGACACTTGACATAAACACACTTGGGTCTGAAGTGGGTGTGGGCGTGGGTGGGTATGGGTGGCCAGCTTCTCAGTGAGATAAAACACTATATCACAATTACCAATATAATACATGTGACACTGTTACTGAATGTAGTGAAAGGACTACTTACTTTTGACTAAGAACTTTTCTTCGTAGTCTTTTTTTATGTTAGAAATGCTTCCTTATTGATTGG